GGGCAGGCAGGCCGGCGGGTTAGAACGCCCGGCGCGGGCGGGACCACGGCGCCTCGCACCGCCCCGCCCGCAAGCGGAGAGCCGTGGGCCAACGGGCGCGCAGAGAGCGGGAAGGGGGAGGTGGTGAAACGCCGGGACCCAATCAATCCTGAGAACCTGTTTGATGGGAACGTTGAGCAGCCTATGGAAGGGAAGGGAAATGAGGGAGCCGCTCTGGGTTCTTGTGCCAGCTTTTCGGGGAGGGAGACTGAGGAACTGTTTGATGGACATCTGAAGCAGCCTATGCAAGGGAAGGGAGGCGGGAGCAACTTTGGGGTTTAGTGCCCGCTACCTAGGGAGGGAGGCTGAGGAACTGTTTGAGGGCCAGGGAGCGTGGCCTATGAGGGGAGGGGCGCGGAGGGGGCTATAGCCTATCACGTGCTGCCAGGCCGTGAAGTGACGGTCTATACGTGGAAATGGCCAATGAGAGCGGGATGCGGGGCTAAGAGAACGGCAGGACGGCTGCCCTGTAAAATACCTAGGAAAAAAAAAAGAGGCGGGATAAAGAAAGATTGGTGGGCTGTCATAGAAGGCGGAGGCGGGACTGCGGCCAATGGGAAGGGGCTCCGGGGAAGTGGGCGTGGGGAGCGGAGTGACAGCTGGCAGCAGGCCCGAGTTGGCCTCAGGTGCTAGGGGCAGAGCCTCCTTGGCGTGGCAGACCCGCTAAAGGGAGGGGGGAACTCACAGCCGCCCCCGCCTGGCTTACAAGGCCCTGCCCCACGGTCAGACAGGAGCGGATGGAAGCTGATGGTAGAGCTGGTACGATGCTTCAGGCGGGCACGTGGTAGCGGGTTTGCTCTTTTTGTAGCTGGACGCCTATTTTTATGGCCAGAGAATTACTTTGCGCAGGTGCCCCGCCTCCATTTATTGCACGATGCACCCGTCAGTCGTGTGATATACATAATGTGTGGCAGGGGCCCAAGGGGCGCAGGGGCAGCAGGAGCCCACCTGCTCAATCTACAGGCAGACAGGCCCACCCCTCACCCCTGGGGCAGTTGGAAGTGGCAAAGTCCACAGACTGGAGCAGGGGTGGGCAACATGGCAGATCCGGCCAGTAGCTGAGCTCCATTTCCTAGCAACCCCTGCCCCTCCCCCACATTGCTGCAGCTGGTTTCTGTGGAGACCCTAGTAGGGGCCCTGCAGTGACAGTGCAGGGTCAGGGTTTCCATGGAGACCAGCACCAGCAGGGCACCTGGCTGGGCAGGGAGCTGCTCCATGGCCGGGGCAGGGATCTGGTGGCGGTGACTGTGATCCGCCCTGGGCAGGAGGGTGCAGGCACCAGATGGCGGCTCTGCCCTGGCTCCAGACCACTCTGTCACCATGGTAAGATCGCAAGCCCAGCCATGGAGCAGTTCCCTGCCCAGCTGCCCACCCTGCCAGCGGGGCTGGGGCCGGTTTGGGTTCTTCATGGAGACCGGCTGCAGCATAGCAGATGGGCTGCTGGGTAATGGAGTTCACCATGGGCCCGCTCCAGCCCACAGGCCAGACTTTGCCCACCCCTGGACTAGAGTGACCCATTCACTGGGCCTCAGCCACACCCACACTGACAGCAGCATAAAGCAAAGGGAACTTCTTGTGGGTGCCAGGGAGGCTGAAAGGCTGCCATCAGAGTGTTCACACAGCCGAGAAAGGGCAGTCCCCAACAAGGGCACAGGGTGAAACCCATCCTGGTGACAGGTGCGGGTGAGCAGCTGCTTCAGGTCTTTCCCCTCCCTCCCCCACGTTGCTAGCTCCCTGCCCCCTCACATGCACCATGGTGATACCTCAGCCTCCCACCACTGCATGCAGGGAGAAACTTGTTAGGCACAAAAGCATAGGAGTAGCCAGAGGAAGGTAGGAGCTCCTCCCACTAATCATTCACATCAGTAAATGCAATAGCATCCACCCTGCCCCTTGATACAATCCAGCTTTTATGTCTATATTTCGGGGTGCGCTGCCCATTCCGGTTCCCCTGGATCCATTGCATATAGCAAACACCCCAGCCTGGTTCCCAACAGGTTTAGGGGCTGGGGTGGATCCAGGATTTAGCAAAGGGGGGTGCAGGAACAGCCACCCACACTACTTAAATCAAAATACCCCTCCCCTAGTCACTGGTGTGGAGAGACTGCATGATGGGAGTCTCTGGGGATTTTAGCAGGTAAGAATCCCCCTTTCCCTTCCATGCTCAAAGGCATGTCTCCTCCCCTCCTGGCCTGCAGCTACTGCTTTCCCCACTATCTGGGGAGAGCTGAGGCTCCTGTTGTGGCCCCTGTGGCTGTTCCCAGCAGACCCCAGCCTCCCGGCAGCCTGAAAAAAGCAGCAGCGGCAGGTGGTGGAAAGGGGCAAGGGAAAGAAGGGGAGGTTGGGGAAGTGCCTTTGAGCATGGAGGGGAAGCAGGGGCTTCTTATGTGCTTTGGGGATTTCAAAACAGTCCCCAGAAGCTCCCACAGCACAGTCCAGTCCAGTCCAAAAGGGTGGGGTGCAGCCACACCACTACAACTCCTCTGGATCCACCACTGTTAGGGGCTACCTAGGAGGACAGGATACCCAGATCATATGTGAGTTCCCTACACGAAGGCTAGTGTCCCCAACAGTGAGGGGAAAACAGCTGGCTAGAAGTGGAGGAACTTGTGCTTAATTTCAAACCTAGGAGGTTCCTTACGTGCCAAGATTCTCCACAGAGAGAAGAGAAGGTAGCAAAGGGAAGTAAACAAGCCACCCTGTGAACCTTCGGTATGACAAAGCAGAGGCATTTTCCTTAAAATAACATGTATTCATACAAGTATCTTGGTAAAGAAAACAAAATCCTGCAAAACACTAAAAATCAAAAACAGCATTTTACAGCGTTCTCTCAAGTACAATTTAAGAGCCAAATTCAGCTACAATGGAAGCAGACATAACCCGCTGTGCTCCCTTTGGCCCCCATTTTAAAAATAACTTATTCACAATACATTTAAAAAAACAACAGTTGTACCACAAACCTAACCAGACCAACGTCAGAGATTCGTACAGCAGGAGGATTTTTTCATGACTCATTTTAAAGCACTATTGGCTTAAAACAAAAAATGGCTGCTTTGCTTCTGTAGATGGTACAAACCTATGTACCAACATACCACTCACGCGAGACAGTTCAATAATGGGCCCTTATGCTGTTGGCATAGATATATTCCACATATCTGCTTATGTTAGGGATGACCCCAAAACATTTGGGATACAGCACATGATACTGTAAACCCCATTTTTAAAAAGGAGGAAGAGTCTTGGGAGCCTCAGTCCATGGATTTGAGGAGCCCCTTGAAAAAAGAGCAATTGAAACCTCAGCTTGATTGAATGAGGCAGAAATATCAGGGAGCTGAGGGGGGAAGTTGTTTGCTAGGCATCTAGTATCCCCCCATCCCTTTCAGTTGTAGCAGGAACCCAGAACCCAGGAAGCATTTTGAGGAGCTGGAGGTTCATGTGCTCATGAAAAGTTTCTGGGGGTTGGAGGGTAAGAGGTAAGGAGCTGACTAATGATTCTGGGAAGACTGATAGGGAATGAGGTTTCAGTCACAAGGGAAGAGTGGAGCCACTGGAACGGTTGGGTAGCCCATGAGGGACAGGGATTGACAAAAATGAAGATGCCCACAAAGGCTACCTCCAATTAGGTCTCCATGGGTGCTATTGCAATGCAAACAAGGAAAGCACTTGCATGAGGTGGGGAACACATTAAAGGACAGGCTGTGAACTACCTTCCCAGGAAGCAGAGTCCCATGTCCCAACCTGGCACGTCTTCATGAGATCCCACCTGAGCTGCTAGCTCCATGCTGTGCCAGATCCTGGAAAGCCACCAGTCCCTGTTTCCTCTTTCTCCCTGGACCCGTGGCAAGCAGACAGGAGACCTGACAGCTCCGAAGCTCTCTGTGAATCTCAGTCATTCACTGGAGCCTGGACTGCTGGTGGGGATACAGCTGGGGAGCAAGTCCCTTGCAGAGAGGATGGTTCCTCCTCTCCTGGGATGCAGTCTGCAGCCATTTCTGTGCTGTGGCCAGGTGAGGGAGGTGATTCAGCTGCACAGGCCTCTTCACCCTTGGCATCCAATGAGACCTTGGAGGACAGCTGCATGTTGCGGCTCTGGCGTCTGGCTGGCTGGGGTGGAAGGGGAGGTGGCATGGAGGGGGCACGTGTGGGAGTACTTGCTGTGCGGCGAGGCATGGCTTTGGGTCCACTGGGGTTCTCAGCCCCCTGAGGTGGGTTTGCAGGCATTGGTGCTGAGGTGCGAGGCTGTACTTGCGGTGGCAGTCCTGTGGGCCGGGTGGGTGCAGCTCGCTTCCCTGTACAGAGAACAAGGAGGCCAAAGTCAGACCTTGAGCCATCTTTGTTTCCCATCCCCATGCAGCAGATCTGCCCTCTTGGTTTTCCCATCTTGGATCACCCCAGCCTGAAATCACAGCTCCTGGCCATCCCTCCAAGGGGAACAAGGTAGGGTCCAGCTCTGGGATGTATTTGTTTAGTGCCCCACTTCTGTGGCCTCATTAGAGACCCCAGGGCTGCTGCAATACATACAATGATGGGGCTCCCCTGTGGCAGCCCGGGCCAGAGGCAGCAAAGGCAGAGTGGCAGGTTCTTCCTCACACCCATGGGCTGAGCCTTCTGCTCCCATAAGATTGAGAAAGGGGAGAACAGAGAAGCTTAAAGTAATTAAATCCTCACACAACCAATGTCTTTGTTTCAGGAGCTAATTAGGGATTTCTGTGGCCTCAGGTTGCTCCCAAAGGCTGGGGCACAACCCTCTCACTACCCAGCCAGAGAGGCTGGCACTCACCTACCCTAGCTCAGTAACCAACCCTGATTCTACCTCTGGATGGGATAAGATATCCCAAAGTCCTCCAGCTCGTGTTCCTTCCCCACATACCTGGGTCGCAGCCTGAGGGACTGTTCTCACTGCTATCAGCTGCTAGTTTCCCTTTTACTCACAGGGCAAGCACAATCAGTGAGGCAAAGGCAGTTTTGCAACTGAAGAAGGGGTGTTGGCACCACCCAGGCAGTACCCTCGTACCAGCATATCCTGCTGAGGCCCTCACCATGGCTGAGATATCTTCCCCAGCAGAATGGTGACATCAGGCTGATGCTCCATCAGCAGTATGGTGGTGACTGTCACATACCCCAAAGGAGAAGGTACACAGCAGACCAGGTGCATCAAGCAGGGGCTTACCTTTGGGGGCAGGGTCATCACTTCGAGGTGCAGCCAGGGGGGGATTTGCAGCCTCAGGCAATGTTCTGGTCTCCTTTGGGGGTGTCTCAGGGTCATTCCTGCTTTGGAAAAGGTCAAGTCAAGGTCCCTTTCCTCACATCTGTTGGCTATTAGAACCAAGTGCCACAGATAAATGCATCTGCCTGAGACGTGTCTTCTGTACGGCAGATGGGGCTCCCAAGGGCAGCTGGCACCTGGGACCACAAGCCTAGTGTCCGACCATGCCATTAGCTGCACTGGTCTGGATGTACACAGCTACAAGGTAAATGGTTCTAAGCAGGAGGAGGGCTTTGGGGCAGGGGGGATTTTAGATGAAGTTACTGAAGTCAAGTGACTGGACAGGGGACAAGCAAGATGGCCATGCCTCGCTCACTGCTAGTCACTTACGCTTCTCCAGCTGGTAGAGAGGTAGAGCTGGCAGGAAGGGACTCTGATGAAGGCTTCTCTGCTGAAGGGGCTTCAGGGAACTTAATCTCCTCAGGGGGAGTGAACATGCCTGAGACATTGAAATCTATTGCTAAATAAAACAAAACACCACAAATTAACATGCTGAAGAGGCTTCCTTTGCACCAGTTGTCCTCAGGCTGGAGGCAAAGGCACCTCTCAGAGCATGAGGGATTGACCCACAGGTGCCTGGCTCCAGTAGGCTTTGGAGGCCCCCTGTAAGGTCCTCCAGTAGGCCCCTTGACTCCAGTAGGCTTTGGAGCGAGCACTAGTGGAGAACAAACCAGCCTGCAGAGCCAGAGCACCTACCACAGTCACTGCAGATGGGGCTTCCAAGGGGTTTCTCTCTGTCCTTGGCTGCCAGATTCTGAACAGTGCCTCAGATCCCACAGTGTACCCTAGGGATCTCCTAGCCCCCAAGGTGTGGAGTGGGATTCCCACTGTATGCTGTCAGGAATTTGAGGACTAGTGATCTATTGCCTTGCTTTACATGCTTCCTCATGCTCTTGCCTTGTAGTTGCTAGGAGCTGAGGAGGAAAAAGACCTGGACAGAAGTTCCCTCCTGGCCTCTCTGGGTCAGAGTCTCACCCCTTCTCATCTCATACACAGGTGTGCCATATCTGAGCCTGCAGGTTGCTCAGTCAAAACACCTGGCCATGCCTCTGACCTCACTGGCCTTGATCCAAGGAAAACTGGAGTCTGGCCTGCAGTACAGATGGGCCATCCCTTACCCCCAGGGAAGAGACTGTCAGCATTCTGTATCAGGGCTTCCACGACTCCCACCACCTGGATGGAGGACACGGAGGCCAGGTCTAGTTGCAATGGGTCTCTGAGACAGGATGGGAGAGAGAAATAAAAAAAGCCATTAGGAGTGTTGTAAAACAGGAAATGGAGATATACAATTAGTGCAGCTGCTATCCCGCTGGTTTACTGGTCCCTGAAACCAGGATACATGACTGTCTGCCTGCCTTCTAAATATGGTACCTCTTTGGAGAGAAATCCTGGAGGACACTAGGATTAACTCCTTTTATGCTTGCTGTTAGTGAGGAGGGAGGCTCAAAGCAGAAGGCACAGCTGTATGGACCAGTGCCAGGGAGGGAGTGCACTGCCCTTTTATCTCTGGTAGCCTGGATTCAAACTCTGCCTTGTGCCATACATGCTATGAGTGTGCTGGGTCTCAGCCTGTCTTCAGGAAACATTTCCTCCCTTTTGCAAAATGCTGCCATATAGCAGCAGAATTATGGGGTCAGGAAGAGTGTATCACTGGATTAGGTCAGGACTGAGATGAACTGGCTGGCTGACCTGTGTGACAGGGATACTGGAAGGAGGTAGAATAATTTGGGTGGAGCCACACCAGGGTTGAAGGGTATTGGTGGTGTGAATGGTGGCACAAGGTGGGAGGTAGGTGAATTAACTGAATACTGAGGTGCACTGGTACAGCCAGGCAGGGGATACCTAGGAGTGGACTGGCAGTATATGCTTTAGGTTTGGGGAACAGTGCATTAGGGGAGTGGTGTTTAAGACCAATACCATAGGGGCCTGCGTGGACAGTCAGCACTAACAAAACCCTCTTAAAGGAAGTGCTCCAACTGTATTTGCTTGGTCAGCATACACTAGCCAGGGCTTGTGATGAAAACACTCAGGAGTTTTCAGGAGGCAAACACTCAAGTACAATGGTGGAGAGGAGGGTCCCATCCCAGCACAGGTACCCTGGGAAGCCCATGTATTACCCTGTGTTCTGTTGTGACCACAGCAGGTTGGGCCCCAGAACGATGGCAATGTTGCTAGGGCTCATTTTATTCACTTCCTGATGTTCAGCCAGCTTGGCTAAAAACTTGATCAAATACCTGTTGGAAAAAGGAGGCAGTGAACAGCAGGAGACCACAGCCCCTGGGCACCTAGAGAGCTAGCACTCTGCATGGCCACATGGAGATGGGGGAGCTGAGACTTCCTTCTGGGCCTCTCCCCATCAGACAAAGCAGAGCTGGTAGGAGTGTGGAGGGCAGGGCCCGAGTCCCAGATGTACACTTTACACTGCAATGGGGAGGCAAGAATTCCCTCCTTGGTCCCTCTCCTGCAGTGAGGAGCAGAAGGCACAGTGAAGGCTGGTCCCCCTTGTCTAAGGGATTTGTTTTGTGAACACCCCTGCCTAAGATTTCCTGTCCTGGTCTATTGCTGCTTGAGAGTTATGCAGGAGTCATGGTCTGGGTGTTTTGGGAGGGGACCATTCTCTGCCTGTAGTACTCCCACAGCCTGGGTGGTGGGCATAGTACAAGGCCAAGATGCACTGATCCCTGTGCCAGACCTCAAGTTGTTGTAGCTGTCCTGCGGGAGCCGGCTGCAGGTGTCTCGGAGGCTCTGCACACGCTCCTCAGGCTCCTTGAAGCTGAAACAGAGGAGAGGGGAAAGGAGACAGTTTGTCTTGTATTTTGCATGGAAGGAGGAGGAAGGTAACAGAGGAAGAGAGGTGAAAGCTCCCAACCCTTCCCCATGTTGAGGCAGGCTGAAGCATGGGTGTTGGACTTGCTGGGAGGAGAGGGCCAAATGTTATGACAAAGGAGGGCCTGTAGGTTGGATACAAATCCAGGACAGTACCCTCCCCCTCACCCAAATGGACTGCCCACAGATGCCAGCAGAGGAACAGTGCAGGGATCAAAGGGGAGACTATCAGCTTTGCACTCGTTCCTTTCCCTGTTCTTGTGATTCTCCCCTGGACTTTCCTTTATTTTTAATTTGGATAGCACCTCTCAGGCTCAACCCAGCATGCTCCAGTCCCACCCTCATCCCACCCCCTGCAGTAACAGCTATTGAACAGTTGTGTGCTGATACTGGAGTCACTGCTGGGCTGATCCACCAGTCAGGATAACAGAGGGACATGAAGTTCATCTCTGAAACCATCTCAGGTAGCTGGAACACTCAATCAGAGGCCACTGCATGGCTAATGCTCAGTCCACAGTTGGATGCTATCTCTGGAGCTAGTAACATTTATTGCTATAGCTTGACTTAGGACATCTGCATCACCGGCTTCCACTTACAAAGCTACATTCAGCCAGTTGTCATAGAGGTCAAAGGTCATCAGGGGCTGGGGCAGCTCTCGCAAGTAGGATTTTAGTGCACCTGAGAAGGAAGCAAATTGATGTGTTTTAGAAACAAGGTACTCGGCTCCACCCACTGCATCCAGCTGGTGCCACAGCTGGTCCCCAGCACCCCTACCCTCTCCAGAACCTCCAGTACAGACCAGCAACAGCATGTGGGTCTGAGTAGAATTCCTCTAGGGCACTGGAGCCACTGGCCAGGCTGCACTTCAGCTTCCTTAGCATGGAGGCCCCTGCTGCCAACCTGAAGAGCCCCTAGAAGGAAGAGAGAGGAGAGAGAAATTATAGGAGGATGGACTGTGATTTTTATGGTTGGGCAGGGGTGGGACAGCAAGTGGCACCTACCTCCTCCTTCATGCCAGATGCCAGCAGCATCATGACACAGGCTTCAATGGGGAGCGCGATCTCCCGACCCAAACTCCTCAAGTGCTCCTCCAAGGGCTCCCCATAATACTTTGATACAGGGGTATTCAAAGGGACCGGGGACTCTGGAAAAAGAGGTGGGAGATCAGGAGATAATACAGGCTAAGCCCTCACAGGGAAGTGAGTGAGGCAACATCTTTCCCCTATGATTTCATAGACATTAGATATTAGGGCTGGAAGGGACCTCAGAAGATCATCGAGTTCAGCCCCCAGCCTGAAGGGCAGGAAGTCAGTTGGGGTCATAGGATCCCAGCAAGATAAGCATGAGTCCAAGCCCAAGTGTTTAGGGTTAGTGGGCTGCATGTTTAGACAGCCAAGCAGTGACTGAATGAACTGAGAGCTGTCAGCCTCTTTCCTCACAGGATAGGGGACCACATCATAACACCCCTGTCACCACAACCCGCTCTCTCTTGCCAGCCATCCCAGCAAAGGGGCTGAGCCCCCCTCACTCCTAGCTTTGGCCTTTCCAGGTGAGGCTTGGGGTACATTGGCAGGGGGCAGTCCACATGCAAATCTCACCTGCCTGCTCCTGGCACTGTATCTACATTGTTCACCAAAGCCCAACTTCAAGGTGATGGAGAGACCCATAAGCAGCAGTGAAGAGACCCATCCCTTTCTGGTTACATCCTCTGGGCAATCAGCTGGACTTCCACCCTCCAAGCCCAGCTGCCCCCCGTTCCACCCAAATCAACGTGGACAGCTCTGCTTTTACCTATCTGACCGTGGGTTTCCCTCAGCTCTGCCAAGGCGGCGTCCAGTGATGCAAGAGACGTCTGGTGGTACTGAGCTTGGATTTCTAGCAGCTGTCAGAGCAGATGACATGCAAACACAGCTTTACTCTTCAGAGCATCTCCCACAGAAACCCTGGCTCCAAGAGTTGTCACTGAGAATGATGCTTTCAGACAAGATATGAAAGGAAAGCAGAGTGGGAGGTGGCAGAGAGATACAGAAGACTTTTCCTAAAGAGGTAGGATGACGGAGGGTGGGGGATAGACAAGGATATAAAGATGAGGCCAGTACCACATAGCAAACCCAAGACATTTTTATGCAATAGGAAGGAACTGAGGAAGGGACCTGCATGGAACAGAGAGGCTTACTTTGATGAAGTAGTTAGCATAATTGTCCTCCTTGGTGGAGAAGTGATATAGGTCAGCCATGTACTCATCCTGGGAAAAGAAAGTCAGTAGATGTCAACCTTCATCCTCATCACTCCCAAAAAGAAAGACAATGCTTCTGTGGCGGCACCTACAGCAGCCCTCATTAATGCCAGTGCTCACCCATATAGGGTGCTCCTACAGTTAGGTCATAAGAACTGCCATATGGGGTCAGACCAAAGGTCCATCCAGCCCAGTATCTTGTCCTAACAGTGACCACTAGCAGGTGCTTTAAAGAGCATAATAAACAAGGCATCTGTAGAGTGATCTATCCTTTGTCAGACCCTCTTCATCACCGGCAGTAGGTTATATTTATCTAGTCCCTATTCTACAGACCTCCACTACATCCTGACACCAAGTTCCACAAGTTAATTAAGTGTTATGCAAGAAAAAAAAATACATTTTGTTTGTTTTAAGTCTGCTGCTTGATCATTTCATTGGAGATCCCTTAGTTTTTGTGTTATGAGATGTGACAAATAATACCTCCCTCTCTATTTTTTCTAGACCACTCACAATCCCAGACCTCTGTCATATCCCTTCTCTCATTCAAGCTGAAGAGCCCCAGCCTTTCCAGCCTCTTGTTGAATAGAATATATTCCATAATCCTGGCCAAAAGACAGGACTGTATCGAGAAAGACAGCAGATGAAACAAACTGGGAGACAGACCTATTAAAAGTTTCTGTGTAAATTAAAAGAGGAAAGAGCTGCAAGGGTGATATCCCATTGGTTATCCACTATGACCAAATCAAGAGGATGAGGTAACTTCCAAATAAATAACGGAAGTATCCAAATCAGGCCCTAATGCAGTGGTTCTCAACATTTTTAACTTGAGGCACTCCTTGTTAGACTCAAAGTACCCCTTGGAAAATGCTAATTCATCATTTTTCACTCATGTTTTTGAGTGCAGAAAAATAATAGAGCAGTTTTTCTGTTGCAAAGAACTTAGAAATCCCACAACAGGTCAGAATGTTTTAGATACTATGAATTCCTATTTTAAATCTGTGCATTCATCTTGTGAATATGTTTGCACACCTAAACAGTGCTAACATTACATGGTACCCCAGGGAAGCTTTGAAAGCGTCTTATGGCACTGCGGGTTGTGCTGCTGGCCCCTGGTTAAGAATCACTGCCCTAGTGTTCATGCGAGATTTAATTACCCTGATATCTGCTGTGATGGCAATACACCAGTGCACAGACAGCCCCCAACGAGTGTGTGTATTGTGTTGCAAACAATTTTTTGGTACAGGTGGAAGAGAAACCAACTAGGGGAGAAACTCTTCTCAATATGCTGCTTACTTATAGGCAAGAACTGGTTAAGAAGCTGAAGGTGGAAGGCAACTGTGTGTGACAAGAATCATGAATTAACATAGTGCATGATGCTAAGGAGCGGAAGGAAGAAGTATAATAAAAACATTGGACTTGAGAAAAGCAGACTTTGATAAGCCCAGGGATATAGCAGGCAGAATCCCATGAGAGGCAAGTGTGAGGGGAAAAGCCGAGCTGGTTATACCTTAAAGAGACAAAGGCACAAGACCAGGCTATTCTTCTATGAACATAAGATAGGAAGTGCAGCAAGAGACTGGCTTGGTTAAAGTATGAGCTCTTCAGTTGCCTGAAACTTAAAAAAAAAAAAAAACTCTGAAAAAGTGGAAACTTGGCCACAGTACTAAAGATGATATGAGTATAGTAAAGAAACGTGTGGAAAAAAACCCAGGAAGACCAAGGTGGCCCAAATTGATGGTCAGCAAGAAAAGGATATAAAAGGCAACAAAAAGCACTATATCAGTATGTCTGAAGAAAGAGGAAGACCATGGAAAATGGAGGTCCCTTGCTGAAGGGGGAAGGGAAACTGATGTGGCTGAGGGCTGAAGTGTTTAATGTCTTTTTACTTCAATCTTCATAAAAAGATGATAAGCAGAGTTAGCAGCAGGGGTTAATCATCCTTTAGTAGGAAAAGAACAGATTAGAGGTTAGTCTGAGCTTACTTAGACAAGCTGGATTTTTAAATAAGCAAGGCCAGATGAGATTCACCCTAGAGTGCTCAAGGAATTGACGGGTAATTGCCCAGACATTGGCTATCGTCTGTGAGAACTGACAGATGTCAGGTAAGGTCCCTCCCAAACTAAAAAAGGGAAAATATAGTGAAAAAGGGGATGGTGGGGAGAGGGGAAGAGAACCCAGGGAATTACAGATGAGACCAGCCAATGTAATATTAAATACCAGAAAAGATACTGGAACATATCAAAGAATCTATTTCTAAGCAGAAATAGATAAGGATAAGAAAAAGCAATAAAGAGCAGCCAGTGTTATAGGTTTGCCAAGAGCAAAGAATAAGCTGCTTCTTTTATAAGTGGATGGCCTTTATGTATGGAGGGAAAGCTGTGAATGTGACATGATCTGATTTTATCCAGGCTTTTGACCCTGCCTCTTACTATACTCTCCTAAGTAAGGGAAGGAAGTCTGGTCTAGATGAAACTGCTACAAGGTGGGCACTTTATTGGTTCAATAACTATGTCTCAGTGTCTAACTGGGAGGAGGTATCAAGTGGGGTCCCTCCCAGGGGTTGGTTCTAGATTCAGTATTGTTCAATATTTTCATTAATGACTTGAAGGGTGGAACCAAGTGTATACTTCATAAATCTGCAGATGATGCTAAGTTTGGCGGGGTGGCAGTCACTTTGGAGGACAGCATTAAAATTCAAAACAACCTTGATAAATTGGAAAAATGGTTTGAAATAAATCAGTTGAAATTCAATAAAGACAAATGCAAAATACCATATTTCGGACAGAATGATCAAAAGCACAGATACAAATCGAATGGTTTGGCTAGGCTACAGTACTACAGATGTTGACAGGGAGTTATAGCGGACCAAAAATTGAATGAGTCAACAGTGCAATACCATTGGAAAAACCGAATAATGCACTGGGATGCATTAACAGGACCGTTGCGTACAAGGCAAGGAAGGTGATTATTCCACTCTATTCAACACTGGTGAGACCTCACTTGAATACTATGTCCTGCTTTTGGGCACTGTACTTCAAAACAGACACAGAAAAAGTGAAAAGAACCCAGAAAGAAATAAAAATTATTAGAGATTTAGAAAACATGATGTGAGAGGATAGGTTGGAAGAACTGGGATTATTTAGTCTACGGAAAAAAGACCGAAGGGGACTATGGATAACAGTCTTTAAATACAAAAATGGTGGTTATTTAGATGATGGCAATCTATTGCTCTCTGTGCTTGCAGGAGACAACACGAAGTAATGGGCTTAAATTACAACAAAAGAAACTTAGGCTGGATACTAAGGAAAACTTTCTAACTATGAGGGTGTAACTTAAGCACCAGAACAGCCTAAAGAGGTTGCAGAATCTCCATCACTAGAAGTTTTTAAGTGCAGGTTAGACAAACATCTGCCTGGGATGGTTTAGGCGGGCATGTTCCTACCTTGAATAGGGGGATGGATTATATAACCTTGAGGTCCCTTCTATTTTTCCTTGGTTCTATATATCTCTCTGTGGCAGTCACTCCAGAGATTTTACTAGTGAGTAAGGCTTTCACTGGTCAGGCTGCTTAAAGACCAATTTTTTCACTCCATGGAGTGGTTGGCTTCTGGGAACTTCCAGCACACAATAGCTGAAGATAAATGTGACCCCAGCCCTGAAGACCTTTCTCCATTTTTGGCTCATCTTGTCTTTCTCCAAACTGAGGAGGGAGGCTGCCCACTCACTTTGCATTGCTCCACCCTCCTTTTCACCTCCTCTTCTTCCTCCCTCAGGTTTTCCAGTTTGATGGCTGCAGATGATGCTCCAGGGCCAGTAGCAACCCCAGCACTGTTACTGGAGTTCTTGACAGCTTGATTCAACCTTTGGGTTACAAAAGAATAGTCTGATTAACCACCTGGGTTAACATGAGCAGAGGAGGGCTGCCAGGGTGTTCAGGGGAATGGAGAGCCTGTCTTATGAGAGGAGACTGGAAGAACATGGCTTGGTTTGTTTGGAAACAAGGGCTGAGCAGGGTTATGATTGCTGTCTATAACTGTATCAGGGAGCATTTTCCTTCAGCTTAAGGGCAATGCTGGCACAAGAACCAAGGGCTATGAACTGGCCATGAATGCATTTAAGCTGGAAATTAGAAGGAGATTTCTAACCACCAGAGGAGCTATGTGCTGGAACAGCCTCCCAATAGGAGCACGGGAGTCCAACAGGCCTGCTGCTTCTAAGATGGAGCTGCATTCGCTTATGAAGGGATAACACAATGATGCGTCATCCACAGTATCAGGGGCCTGGACTCAATGACTCAAGGAGTGCACTCAAGCCCATGGTTCCTATTTAACATGAAGGGCACCAGCCCCTTAAATGAAAGCATGAAACATCCCTCCCTGTCCCTTGTCCAAGTCAGGAACAGTGTGCAAAGAATATTGGGAAACACGTGATCCCAGGAGTCACAAAGCTCTGGATGCTCTTAGAGCAGTTGCTTGTGGGCTGTACTTTGCACTCCTGCTCCAGACAAGGAATTGGTCATTCAGAGCTAGGAAGAGTGTGAGCATAGACAGTGTCAGCACCACCCTGGGACCAGGCCCTGCACTGGGGGGATGTGGGCTAACAGGCAAGTTGACCAACACTCAGTCATCATGTTAACAGTTATTGCTTACTGTGCTGCCCTAAGCCTCTGCCTGTTTTGCCTGAATAGTTGATTTGAGCGTGCGTTTACCAGAAAGAGCCTGCACGAATGCGTGGAGCATTCTTGCCTGCCAGTGACTTAACCACTCTGAGCTTTCAGGGAGAAGCTCCCTCCCCTCCCCTGCCCTGCACCTGTCAGTGCCCATTCTTAGGAAGCAATCATCTGAATCTCAAAGTACATCACCCTATCTGGCTGCAGCAGTTGCTCCCTCTCCACTCCCACTCTTCCCCTGCTCTTCCTTAGTACCTGCTCTTGATGGAGTTCCAGTCTGAGATCAGCTTCTGAAGGGTCTTCTTGCGTTTCAGGATAACAGGCAGTTCCTCCTGGGAGAGATTGGGGTGAGATTTAATCACAGATCCTGCCTGTGGGCCTGGAACAGCTGTTTATGCTACATGAAGCAAGGTGGGAGTGAGAGAGCAGTTCCAGAGAGGATGAGCAGGCAGGGGAGATAGAATGAGTGAGAAAGGGTGGGAACACAAAGATAAGATAGAGAACGAAGGAGAGAGGCCAGGGCTACCTCGCTCAGTTTGTTCAGGGGCTGTAGGACCTCTCTCTCCAAGGCGATTTCAAACTCAGCCAGGACTTTGGCCAGATTGCTCTGTATGAAACAACTCATCTCTAGAGCTTTCCTGCAGGGATGGAGAGGAGAGAGAATCACTGCAGGCCCAAGTGACCTCTCCCCTACACCCATGTCCCCACTTCCAGGGGTACTTCACTGGGGAGGCAGACAGCGATGATCTCTAAAGTAGTTCTCAGCTCCTGCTGCACTTGGAGGTCCTGAACACAAATCCTAACACTGGTGCTGGGGGAGCTAGGTGGATGACCCCTATCACCAGCATGTTGGCAGGTAGATCCTGGCAGCAGGCACCCCAGGATTGGGGCCGTGGAGTGTACATAATTTGGGTTCTATGGAGAGCCCTTTTTCAGGGCTCCTTAGCTCCTCTTCTCCAGGCACTTACCCCATGCTGGAATCACTGTCTAGTTCTTTGAAGCTCTCAGCCATTGTGACGGACAGAGCCATCAGAGGCAGTTTCTTCTGCACAGAGCCAAGGAAAAAGAGAAGAGAGGGAGACAATGAGTAGACTTGTCTGGGCTTGAAGACCTGGATTTGAATTCCATTTCCAGTATGGGCAGGGAAAGCCATAGGATGGGCAGGGAGGCACTTACCACCCGTTTGTCCACCTCTGAGCCACTCTGTCCCTGCAGACATGCCTGGAGCCTCTTGGACACATTGTGTGCTGCCTTCTTGGCTGGCTCAATTCTCTGCTCAATCTAGAGGGAAAGGGGGAGGACAGGATGTGGGCAGGACTGGGGGAATCCCTTCTCCTGCCAGCTAGAAACCCCTCCTCTCACCTCATTCTGGCCTAGTCACAGGGACTCCTCCTTGACTTGCTGGGGTTGTCTAGCTGAGACAGTGGCTCTGCTTTAGGGGAACAGAACCTCCCCCTTCTCCCAGCATGCAGGGACCTGGTGTAATGCCCTGTATCTGCTGACATCCCATCACATCCCTCAGTGGTCAACCCCTTGTGGTCATCTATTGTTTTTCCTGTGTATGTAGTTTGTTCCTCACTCAAACCACATGCTATAGTGCATCTGTAGGGGAGCAGGTTGAGCAAAGCAAATGGCAAGTGCCCCCCAATTTGCTGTGGGAGGCACAGCCTTGTGCCCAGAAGTATATGTGGGGGGGGACTGGGGCACTAAGAATGAACCCGTGGAGTTCATGCTGGATGGGCTGCTGCACCAGCATGCAACAAGCCCATTCCTCAGCTATAGCAGCCAAACTCTCACTGCTCCAGTAAGTTCTGTAGCTGTAGTAGCTCCAAGGGCAGGTAAGATTCTGCTCCCCCTGCCCTCCTACTCCCCAGTGGTCAGTATATCCCTGCCCACTCCCCCCAGGTTATGAAATACCTTGCTACACCACCTCTGTCACCTACATTATGGTTGTAGCACACTTGTGTCATGGCCTTATTCTCGTCCTGACTGGTTTGGCGTGCATAGCCTGGATGTAGGTTCCTAAAACATGGCTATAACGCATTTACGGACAAAAGCAGGCCATGTGCTAATGTGATTGGAACATGCTGTAACTGAGTCCTCCAACACAACTGTTGCTGCACCACAGACCTCAAAGCGTCGCTGGTACAGCACAGCCCACAAAAGAATGAGTGCCTGAGACCAGCTCTCTCCACTGAATGGGACCATGGTATAGTCAGCCAGAAACCCTCATCCCTGTACCCTGGCCGTGGAGAAACCTAAGGTGCTTGTCCCAGGGCTATTGCCATTGTACCCAGGCATCATTCCAGGATGCAGAAAAACCCAGGCCAAGGCTGCCCTGTGACCTAGGTATTAATGCTACACGAGCACATGGCCCGTCCCACATACACACAGGCACAGGCATGTACAAGCCTGTGGGCCAAATCCACACCTTACCTGCAGCAAGTCATCAGTCAAAAGCTCAGTTGCTTCTTGGCTTCTGAGGAAGGAGTGGGAGAGACAGACATATCAGCACAGGCGGAAGTATCAGCACATACTGCAACCTCTACTCTGCTGCCTTGGGAAAGCAGGCACTTGACCGCCACCTGTCCTGTCTGCTCACAGGGATAGAGGGCAGAGGGTGGGTCCTGGATCATCACATCTAAGGCTCTCAGGAGGCTTTCAAGAGAAGCTTACAGGTGAAGAGGATGTGAGGAACAGGAAAGGCGCCCTGCCTGTCAGGTTATTCTCCTCAACACATTCAGGGAGAGCAGATAGCACAGCAATCGCTTGGGCAGTGAGGGCATGCTCCAGCATCTTCACAGATGAGCATAGGATGTAGGCCAGGGGTGAGCAAAATGCGGCGCAGGGGCCAGATGCAGCCTGCCAGGCCATTCTATCCGGCCCGCGGGGCCCCTAAAAAATTTAGAAAATTAATATTTATCTGCCCCTGGCTGCCTGTCATTTGGCTATCGATGGCTTGCCAAAACTCAGTAAGCAGCCCGCTGCCCAAAATAATTGTCCACCTCTAATGTAGGCCAAGATCTTCAGAAATGACTAGTGAGTCTGGGACCCACCTTAACATGCCTTAACAGTCCCAATTATCAGAAAGTGCCAGGCACCCACCCTCTGACAAGGAGAGGCGCTTTAAATCAGAAAATGCCAGTTCTGCTGGCTCCAAAACATTTCATTCAAAGCATCTGGGGTTTGGCAAGTCTCCTGATCCATTGGTCTTAGCTGCAGCCTCTGGGGAGCTGCCTGCAATAGCTCGGTGTGGCAGAGCTCAAGAATATCCATTTCATGGAGCAGCCACAGAGTGCCAGGAGTTTCCAGTTTGCTGGAAATTTGGAGATAGTTTGGTTTTGGTCCAACTCAGTTTAAACCAGAAGCAAATTTCAGCCAGAGAAAGATCCCTAGGACTGGGATAGTCTCCTGTTTGGCTGTCTGCTGTCACTGGTCGCTTGGAAAAAATCTCGGCCTTTGTATTCTGCCCGTTCCCTTCCCACCAGGGCTGCAGCTTGAGCTGGCCCATTTCGGAGACTGCACCCAGACTGAATGCCATTGAAGAGGCGCAACCACAGGCAGCCGGGGGTGGCAAGGCTTGAGGAAGGCTGAGTCAGATGGGATTACAAAGCAGGCCACAGAAAAGAGGCTCTGAAGTCAAGCAGTGCCATAGCAGAAGAGAGCCATTGAAGCCACACCTGTTGTCAGTCAAAAGTGTACCTGAGCAAAGCTGAGGCATGTTGGGGGTGGCCTTGGCCATGGTGACAGATAGACACATCTCTGGAGCTGTAGCAAGAGACCCTAAGTGCTCTCCTGCCTTGCACCAGCAAGCCTCTTGTATTGGGAGAAATCCAGGGAGGCTGTTGCTTTGAGGGAAAGGAAGGTGAGGCTATGGCAGTGTGAAGGAGATGGTTGCCTGCCCTTGGGTGAACAAGGAGACAAGTTTGGGCTGATCTCAGCCTCTTGGCATGAAAGTGTGCATGTGTGTGCACAAGCAAATGTGTGTGTGCGTGTGCAGAGAGCAAAAGAGAACCGAGAAGAGAGGGCCCAAAATTTAATTTCTGGTTTTTGCAAGGGGAGAGCTTTGGAAACTGGAACAATTTGGTGAAGTGGGGGAAAAAACCCAACAAACCAACACAGCAGAGACAGGACCAGAAAAATCCTCTGAGGGGGAAAGGGAAAGGAGCCCTTCCTTTGTCACAGGCACTTCCCAAAAGCTTAAGGAAGCAAGGGGAAGCTCCCTCCGCCTCTCATATGGGATTCAACTTCTGCTCTGGGCCCTCTCCACCCCGGAAGGGAGAGTAGCAGTGGGAGTGGATGCTCCTTCATTATTACTCCTCTTCCTGGGGTCCCTCCCTCTCTCTTGCTGGTAGAGTCGGGGAACTTCCCTCTGCAGCACCCCATCCCTGCATCACAGTTGCTGCCCCCTCTTATCTCCCCCACAGGAAGGGTTAAGCTTCAGCAGGGCTTTCCCTTCACAGCCCATCCAGCCCAGCGCTGCAAGCTACCCTGGTATGCTGCGATGGCAGCCGCATCATGGAAGCTGAGGGCCTGGGTGCATCAGAGGGCAGCACCACATGTGCCGCAGAATCTCTGCTGATCAGGGTCCAGCAGGTCGAGGACAGCTGGGCAGCACTGCTCCACCCCCTCAGCTTCCTGAAGGACCATGAGGAGCTGCTCACAGGTGGTTTGGTGCATTTTCTGCCCTCCCCGATCACCCCGTCTGCCCTGGGGCAGCACTGGTTCTAGGGCAGCTTTAGCAGGACCCCCAGGATCCCCTTCCCCAGCCCTCCACTATCCCCTCAGCCTGGCATGCCCCCGGCCCACAACCTCCAGGAGGCTGGGACTTTGCACAGTGCTCTCCTGCACGGCGTCTTGGCCTTCCCTCTGCCCCAAGCCTGAGAGCTGGCAGGACGTCGCCACTTTTGGGAGACAGCGCAAAACTGGGTCCTTACCGTCCCGCAAGGCCAGGATAGGTGAGCTGCTGCCGCATCCGGTGAAACTGCCTCTTCATCATCTTGGGAGATGGGAACGGGGCTGTGCCACCACAGCCACCGCTGCGACTGCGGCCACGCTCAGCGCCTCCCGCTTAGCACCCACCAGCTGCGCTCGGCGTGGTCAGAGATGGGGGCTCCCCTGCCTCTTCCTCTGCTAGACTCCACTGCCCCTCACACACAACTTTCCTCTCTCTTTCCCTCTGGTCTCTCCCCACCCTGTTTTCTCTCCTTCCTTCTCTTGCCTCCTCGCTCAGGGCTTCAGGCTCCCGCCCTCTCCCCTCTTCCGTTTCCCGCACCCTCCTCTTCTCAGAGGCGTCCTGCTCCTTCTCCTCCTCTGTTGCCTCCTCTGTTCGTCTCTCTATTTCCTTCCTTATCTGGCT